TAGCACAGAGCTGAAATCCAGTCGGACACTTCACCGACTGAGCCACCAGGCACCCCTAAACTGATCAAGTTTTAATCACTTCTTCTTACCTCTAGACACTTGGGTTATTATAGCTCATATTCTCATGATTTTTGTGGGTAGTTTTAATATTTTCAACCGTATTTAAACTTTTTTGCATCAATCAATCCTTTTGCCAAACATGACAAGAACACCATTATTACTTCTCAAACTTATCCATGTCAGGATTTTGGTTCCAGTTTATTATTAAGATTTATTTTCTACATTTTCTGTGAACAATTATTTTACACATTGATACATTTAACAGCTAGAATTCTTTGTCCATTACTTTTTTTTGGACTCAGTGTTTTTCTCTGTTTCACATTACACAAAAGTTCTTACGACAGTATATATTTGAGTAATCCTTTCAAGAAAGGGCCTCTGGGTGGTAAACTGATGAAATCTGCTTCTCTGAAAAATGTCTATTTGGTCTCCTGAAAAATTTAAAGGTCATGTTCTTTGCCTTCTGGCCACCAGAAATGATGACAGTACTGGTGAGAAATCTAATTCCATTTACAGTCTTGCTATTTTTTTCTCCACTCTGGAAGACACCACATTGTTTTTCTCCTTATCAAAAATGCCACAAGGACATGTGATCTTTTTGATTGCTGTTCACATTCATCCCGTTTGATCTTTGATGGGTCCTTTCAATCTGAAGGCATGCACATTTCTTTAGCTTGGGAAACATTTTTCTTCTACAATTTATTTAATTAGTTCTTCACTCCAACATTTCTTTCCTTCTAGATTTATTCGATGAATTGATTCTTTTAAACTTTCATACACAGTTTCCATCTCTTTTTGTTCTCTACTGTAGCTGATTTCACGGACTCCCTCTTCCAGAACGAAAACACTACTTGGCTGCGGGGATCCTATGGTGCATCTACTGAATTTCTTTTGGCATTATGTTTTTAAACCTCCAAAAATTCATTTAAAATTTTCTAATTGCTATTTCAAAGCAAGTGATATGTTCTTGCTTTAAAGATGTAGTGGTCTCTTGCATCAGATTAGTTATAATTTTTAAAGTTTTCTCTTTTCTTTTTCAAATTGTCTTATCTCTTCGTGATGAGTCTTTGTAGTCACCTTGAGTCTTCCCTTCCAAACTGATACTTTTCCTCAGAAGTCTGGTCCCCCCCAAGCAATCTATTTGTTATTCATAATGAAGGAACCAGCTTAATTAACACACACAGCAGGTCTGCTGCCTATTTGCTATATTTTAGACAATTTTCTTACTCTTACTGTGCCTCAGTTTATTCACCTCTAAAAATGGGATAATACTACTTACTTAATGGAATTGTTCTGAGAATTAAATAAATCAACAGTTTGAACACAAGTGTTTAGAACAAGGCCTAACACACTCCAATTGCTTGATACATAGTATTATTATTGTGGGTTTCCTCTCCCCTAGTGGGCTGACTGAAGTTTTCTTGTGAGTGAGGCATGACTGGTTATACGGACATGAAGTTGAAATGCAAGTAGGCAATGGCCTTATCTCTCCAAAAACAGGTGTAAGACTGACTTTGCTCTTGTGGTATAGAACTTGAGAATACTACTCTACTGGACAGAACTTCATTTCATCTCCTCTCTGACCACGGCTGCCTCCTTCCCACAAACTCAAACACCCTGCTGTTCTCTCAGGACTCCACATCCATACCACAAGTCCTTGAAGGAAAGAAGTTCATGTTCCCTGCAGTGTAATTTTTAGGTCTCTGACTAAATGTGAATGTTGCCTGCTGCTAGAGTAAGGCTGGAGAACTGGAGGCTGGAAGTAGTTCTTTTATTTCCTGATGACTGTCTTACTCTAACTTTTCATTTGTTCACTTTGTACTTGATATTCTGCAAGATTTGCTCTTACCACAAATCTTGTAGTTTTCTTGCATGAGTGTTTTGCTGTGGTTTTTATTTTGTTATTGTTTATATGCTCCCATTTGCTAACTGCCAATAATTTTTCACAATTTCTGGTCAGCTAATAACATTCTTTCATTTTGTTTTTAGTGTTCATTCTCTTTTAAATAATGTGTTTCCGTCTTTTAAATAGATTTGGGGCAAACAAGAGGGGTGGATGCTAGTTGCTCAACCCTCTAATTTGAGTGAAGACATATTTTTCATACTAGTTACCACATTAATATTTGCTGATCACAAGCAGGAGACCTGTTTAAGCACTACATCGACTTTTAGAGAGAGAGACACATACTTGTGTATACTATATACATTTTGAAATCTCAATAAACTTAATCAAGGAATTATTTTGATGACCATTCAAAATGCAAAGCAAAGGGGCGCCTGGGTGGCTCAGTCAGTTAACTATCCGACTTCAGCTCAGGTCATGATCTCACAGTTCGTAGGTTAAAGCCTGCATCAGGCTCTCTGCTGCCAGCTCAGAGCCTGGAGCCTGTTTCAGATTCTGTGTCTCCCTCTCTCTCTCTGACCCTCCCCTGCTCACGCTCTCTCTCTTTCTCTCTCTCTCAGAAATAAATAAAACATGAAAAACAATTCAAAGCAAAAAAAGAGACATGAACACTTACTGAGTATTCACATAGCTATATACAATAGTTCTGTGTATCCATATGCTTCATATAGCTATAATGATATAGAATAATGTAGAGCTGAAGTAGAATCATTGTACTCTTGTTTTCTTTTAATAAATAGAAGTATACCTGAAAGACTCAGAGTACATGTTCCCAGCATTTCTCAAGGCTTCTTACCAAATATGCTCTTATTACCCATGATTTTACCTATCGATTTGTATAATGTATTTTGAGGAAAAAATTCAATATCAGCCATTCTTGTTTTTTCCCCTTTTTATTGAACTATCAAGACTAATACAGCACATCACTAAGCAAAAAGTGCTATTTACTATGCAAAAGGCACAGTCAGTGATTGGCATCTAAGACCAATTGATCTACCCATTACCGCTATCTCCCTACCCCCACTAGCACTACTATGAAGCTATTGATTTAAACACTGTCGATCGGTTTCCATTTTCTGATTTTGGGCAGGCCAATTAAGAAAGTGAGTAATTGTGATTACATTGCTTCAGGATCAATTACATTTGATGCAAGACAAAGTGTTCTTTTTGGAACATATAAAAAAATAATTTTTGATCTGGTATGCTTATGTGTTTAATAAAATCTAAAATAATTTATATATTCACAAAAGAAAAAGATTAATGTAAATGCTTATAACAGCTAAGTCTATTCTCTATATGAAATAAACTCATCACTTCCCTAAAATTAGTTTAAAAGAAACTGAGAAAAAACTGTTCATATACACTCCCCAATGTAAGACAAAAAAATCAAACACTACCTACATACTTATCCCTAAAGTATTAAGTTAATTATAAAAGATAAAATGCAAATCTTGTCCGATGGATTACAGAGGAAATTTTTGTAATGATAATATATTTAAAGACCCCACACATCTCATTATATAGAAATCTAGCAGGTTCTTTATATAAATTGTTAAGAAGAAATAATTTTTTTAGTTCTTAGTTTTGTCCTTACTTGGTGCATGAGCTTTGTCATTGGGCTCACATTGTTGAAATCATTAAAATGAATATACCTCTGATGTTGGAGGCAAATCTATTTAGAGTGATGTTACTCATAGTCCTGTGCTCAGTAATATTGATCTGTGTTGTTTGTCTAATAGAAAAATAATAAACAATTACTAGGCAATGTTAGGAAAAGTAATCCGTTTTTATATATCACTAATATAGCAGACCTCCCAAAACATAAAGGTGATGATCTGCATAAAATCAATGTGTTATGCTACATTGCTTATATTCATCATTGCAGGTTTTCAGCAATAAATGGTACAATATTAGGTCTGAATTACTGGTAAACTGAAAAGGCATATGGAAAAGAAAAGTTCACTATATTTAACCTATACATTTATTTAAAAATGTTTATTTCCTAAACTTGCTGATTTTTATTGTAGCAAATTCTGTTGGAAACTAGCTAACATTTAGATAAATAAAATGTTTCAATTTTTTTAGAATAAAAACAAAGCAATTTCAAATCAAAATAACAAATCATATGTTGAGTTCAAAAATAATTCTTTTTAAAAAATGTTTTTTATTTATTTCTGAGAGAGACAGCTGTGAGCAGGGGAGGGTCAGAGAGAGAGGAAGATACAGAATCTGAAGCAGGCTCCAAGCTCTGAGCTAGCTGTTAGCACAGACGTGGGGCTCGAATCCACGAACCGTGAGACCATGACCTGAGCCAAAGTCGGATGCTTAACCGACTGAGCCACTCAGGCGACCCATAGAGTTCAAAAAAAATTCTTAAAGGTGGATGAATATAGCTTTGTATTAATTTGCTAATAATTCCTGGACTTTATCAGAAATATATAAAACATTATATGAAACCAGTAACCATAATAAAATGCAATCCTAGAAAATCTCTTTTGAATAGTATTCACGCATGAAACCTTTGCCAACTGTATAAATGTTCTCCTTCAAGTTTTAGCAGAGGCAGTTTGTAAATTAAAGTAAAAAGGAAAAATGTATGGATTTTAGGTACTGACAGAATCAATAATTGTTCACTTAAGAGGCTCAAGATAATATAAAAGATATTTCAAAACTTATCTTCTCTGGTCTATTCAACATAATTAAAGTTTTTTAATTTCTCCTGAATTTTCCTCATGTATTTTCTACAACTATAGACTTAGTAAAATAACAGTTAGCAGTAGCTTCTTACTTCAACCAACAAACTGAATTTCAATCATATATGGCAGACTGTAATGAATGGCTAGCTGGGTAACAATACTGAAAATACATATGCTGTAAACAATGTGTAGAACTATTCCATGGCAGTCTAAATATTGCTAAAGAAAATCATGTTTGTTAAAATGGTTTGTCTCTCAAAGAAAAGAGCTGTTGAAAGCTCACTTTTTGATGTGCTATCCTTTACAAGTAATATAAAATATAGGAGAACACTTGAACTTACCACAACTGGAAACTGGCAGTCTGAGTAGAATCACAAAAGTCAATACCCATTGAAACGGTAATGGATCCCTCAGGCTCAAGAGAATCTAGGAAATAAGATAATTTAGACATGAAACCATGGAGGATGTGAAAAAGGGGCAGCCACAACTCTGAAAACTTGTATCATGTTTGTAGTTTGGTTAAAACAGTCAAATTTAATGATGGCTTAAAAGAACAACTTCAAACTAAGAACATTAAAGCAAATTATAAAGTAACTTCAGGATTTTGCTCAAAGGCTTTCTTTTCCACAACTTAATTCTGCACACACTTCAAAGAACATATCTGTTTCAGAAATATATCTCATCCTGAGAAATTTCAGGTTTTAAAATATTGTCCTTATAGATAATGAAAGTGAGAAAGAAATGTATTCCTGTTTGGAACAATTGTAAAGGACTCACTTGGTGCTTTTAAGAAATTATGTACTTATGATGAGGGACTATTTATTCTAGATATAAAAAGTAAATTTTAAAAAATTTCCCAAATTTCAACGAGAAATAAAAATCCATTATTTAAAAGTGCAAATTAAAGCAAAGCTGAAAAAAGAATTTGTATCCAGAAATTAGCCAAGAAAACTGGCATTATTGGAACAAAAATAAGTCTGATTGCATTACTTAAAGAATTATTGGAAGAATATTTAGTAGTGGATTAGGTTATTATGAAAAAACAAATAAAATGGTATCTTATAGGTTTGGAATTTCTGAAGCTTCATTTTTCTACTAACCAAGAATGAGAAACAGCTGTGTCAACAGACAATACTGGTACTTTTCAGTTGACAACGAGAAGACTTAAGACAACATTTTATTCTGCTTATGATTCTGAAGTTTGGCTATATATCAGACTAATGAATGATCTTATATATATACCTATTTAGTACAAATATTTATGTATGCAATATATTTCAATAGAAATCATCCGCGTTTAATTTCTACTTTGCTCAGTCTTCAGTATAACTGCAGTCATACTGAACAGCTTTATACTTAGCTTTATTCTGTATATGTTTTATTAGATGTAGTTTTATTTCAGCAAGGATACTCTAATCCAGTATATTATGACTATCGAAGGGCTTACTGATAAATATGGTTTGCCACTCAACACCAACCATGACAGAAATTACAGTACAGACAGGACAAAGAATAATTCGATAAGCTTAATATATTAAGAAGTATGCTTATGTTTCGTAGGTTCAATGAAGATCAGGCCTTAGAGGAAGGTACTTGTTTGATGCTGATTTTAAAATGTTATTAGTTTCTTAGTGGTATATCTATGTTGGCTTGCTGACTGATTTGAATTTCGTTTGTTTTTAAACCTAAACTTTATAAGGATGCCACACAAGTACCAGAAAACTTGCTGCCTAAATCTTTAGCAAACAGGCTTTACTATAGAGCAAATAACTGTAAATATACTTTTCTTGCATTTCTCCTAAAGCTACACTTTATCAATTCACAGCTCTGTTAGTTACACTGTTTAGTCATATTGTTTTATGAATAGAAAATCCTTAATGCTTTCTTCCCCCATAAATATATTGGGGTTTGGCCTTGTTTGCAGCTGACATGTTTGTAGCAAAGGCTGTCATCTCCAAAACATGATGGTATTCATGATTTAGATCACGTTACATCATGTATCCTTGTATTTCGTTTGACAAAGTGACAGTTCTCAAGATGCCTTGTTGATAGCACTCTTTGACACAGTTTCGTACCATCTTCAGTCTTAAGATAATTAACTGTGAGCTTAGCGCCACACTAATTCTGGAGGACAGCTCATGATCAATGGCATGTTTTATTATATGAATGCTTCAAGAGCAAAGTAATCAGCATAAAATTATTCATAAAATGGATTTATATTATTTGAAGGCTACTACATTGGGGAAGTTTACTCAGTCAGGCATCTGTGTTTGGATACAGCTTCGGGATCAGTGCTATATACATAAAAGGGGTATACAGTAATGGCTGAAAAACATGGGCTCTATCATACCTCACCATTAATAATGAAAAAAGAAATCACACAGGCTGCCAGAGACTTTGATGTGACACTTGTACAGTAACAAGTAAAATATTTGCTGAACTCAAACTTGTCGACTGTTAACATAAAGCCAGTGAATATAGTGCTGAGTGCCTAAGGCGTGTGTGTGTGTGTGTGTGTGTTTTAAATCACGTAGATACTCGGTCTCTTTGGGAAAGACGGCACGGCACATTACGCCTAATACTCTTGCAGGGAATACAGTTTCATGCTAAAGGCAGGGCAAAAGCCAGACAAAAGTCACTGTATATTATAGGCAAAAAGAAAATAGATTGTTGATAAATAAGAAAGCTGCTGGGCTCCGTAACATACGCATATTATTAAATATTTCATTTAATTTAAAATTTATTGTGCTTATTAAATATTTTCCTCATTTCACAAAAAAGATTAAAATACAGTATTTGTTTTTTGTTGCATTAAGATATTTTTGGAGGACTAATTAAGATATATCATACTCCATAACTCTACTGTAATCTATTGATAAAAGAGGAGGCGGGTGTTATTGCACAGGAAAAAACTCTGTATCTTGAAAGTATTCAATAAAACGCCAAAAAAATGAATAAAACATTATGGTTGTAAAAATTTACCTAAGAAAAGACAAGAAAAGCCTATGGCTAGTACTGAGGCAATGGTATACGTTCATATTTTATTTCTGTGTTAAGGCCATACTATGAGATTTATTATATTTATTTCTTCTAGTCTACATAGGCCAACAAAAGGTCAACTCATCAACTCATTATGCCAACTCAAAGAGATGTTAATACTATTCTACTGTTTTAACCTTTGGATAACATTTTCAACCTTCAGACAATTCATTTATCAGCAGCTTAACATTTCTTAAACTAAACTAATTTTTTAACTATGTAAAAAATGCTGGATTTTAAGCAATAAAAAAGAACACAAATTCTGGATATTCTGGAACTCCTTAGCAATGTAATGACTTCACAAAATAATTTAATAAAAATGAGGACACTCAGTATTCATTAAATTGTGCCTTAATTACAAAATTATTTTAAAAAGTGTATTAAGTGGGTTCTGAAATCAAGTCACTTTAACTCTACTTTGGGTGCTTATAAACATCTACCATATATCATATGTTAGGAATTGTTTTATTCCTTTGTGTAAGAATATAACACAAAGAATGACTTCCTCTGCTGAATGACTCATGAAAAGTTATAGGATAGAATTCAACAATGTCAAAAAGCTCATGTGAAGATGAAGAAAAATAGAATAGTTACATGAAATAATGAGTAAAGAAGGCACAGTTCCCTGCTTAAAAGCCTTGCTCACCTAAAGTATTATAAAAAGGAACTATCTGGAACTTTGCAATGATAATATTTCAAGGACTCAATGACAGAAACCATCTATCAGTTTTAATTGATATTATTGCCTGGGGCTTCTCCCAGTGAAACTCTAGGACTGCTTCCACTTCTACCAAACAGAAAAAATAGAGGTAAACACTAATTACTCCATTCCTTTAAACTCAAAGTAACACACAATTGTTATACTTAATTTTCAAAAGGTGTATTTTGGGCAAAATAGTTAAAAAAAATGGAAGAAGATGACAGCTGGTGAGACAATATGATGTAATGAGCACAGAGGCCACATGGAAAGCACAGGCTGCATCTCAGGGACAGCCTCCTCTACCTCAACTGGTGGTGTTGTATGTTGGAATAAAGGCCCAGTACTGCCAGATCTTGTGTGCCTTTTTCCAAGAAAAGTGAGATTTGTGGGTTTTTAAATGTAAAAACATCTTGATTTCTATCTTTTAAAATTCTTTCTTTTTAAAGAGTTTTTTTTTTAAGTTTATTTATACGAGAGGGAGAGAGAGTGTGGAGCCTGAAGCAGGGTTCGAGTGTATCTGAAGCAGGACCTGAACTCATCAACCATGAAATCATGACCTGGGCCAAAGCGGATGCTTAACTGACTGCATCAGCCAGGCACTTCAAAACATCCTAATTTCTAAATGGTAGCAAAAGATTAAAAATATTTTAAAACATGATGTGTATAAATACTAGTAATATACTACTGACTACTTTTTTAAGTTTATTTATTTATTTTGAGATCAACAGAGTGTGTGCACTCAATGGACAGGCAGAGAGAATGAGAAAATCCCAAGCAGGCTCTGTGCTGTCAGTGCAGAGCCTGAGACGGGGCTCGATCTCACTTACTGTGAGATCATGATCTGGGCTGAAATCAAGAGTCAGATGCTTAACCTACTGAGCCACCCAGGTACCCCTAATATGGGCTACTTTATACTGTATACCTGGAAAGGAAGACAAACAGAGTAGTATAAATCCTCTCAGCCTTTCCTCTCATTTTGCTATTTATGGGATGTAAAAGGAAACAGGGAAGGGGAGATATTATTCAAAAAGGAAGACTAAACTCAAGCAGGGAATGAAGTTGGCCAGGAAGAGAAACTGAGAGAAAGTGATGAAGACAGGTAAAATGAGAGGCAATTTTACTTCTTCAGGTCCATCCTTTCATTAATACTGGTACATGTTATCATTGCTGGCACCCAATTCCCTAAGGGCAAAGACGTGTATTCATCTTGTATGATAAATTCGGTTTAAAAAGAGAAAAGAAATGTAAACTGACTATACTAACAAATATAGTCAATAAAATAATATGTATTCTACTTTACTTTTAAAATAAATGTATTTAATTATCGAATATAACGTTTTAAATGAGAATTAATATTTACCTATTGGATTAAACACATGCATTTGCATGCCTATAGGAAGTTTTTTCCCCCCTATGTGGATATTTTCTATCTTTCGATCAGTAGTATTATTCAGTGTTATTTGTACAGAGACCATCTTATCACCAAAAATACAAGGTTGTCTTGGAAAGAAATAATGGGCAGCCAGTCCTTTTCCACTCATTCGATGAAGTAGCACATGAGTTTTCACTGGTACAAACACAGGAGCACTGACCTGTTGCACATTGGAAAAACAAAGAAAGATGAATTAGTAAATATAGTTATTCTCTTTGAAAATTGTAGGATATGAACTCCTGTTTTATAAACCACAATAACAAACATCATACTCACAGATATTAAATCAGAAATTATATAAAAAAGTAAAGAAAATGCCTTCAAAACAGCATTAAAATTTTTTCTATACTCTGCAACGTATATTAAAATATTTTGACAACATATACCTAATAAGAGAATAAGTAAATGAGAAAGGGGCATTAAGAAGGACACCTGTTGGAATGAGCACTGGGTGTTACATGTAGGGGATGAATCACTGGATTCTACTACTGAAATTCATTACTCCACTATATGCTAACCTGGATGTAAATTTGAAAAATACATTTAAAAAAGGAAGAGAATAAGCTGTCATATATTCAAATTTTTTTGAGTTTTTAAACTTTTTTGTTAGTTTTTCCCTATGTACACTACATTTGGGCATCTTGCTTATTAGTTTTAATAATTTGTCAGTTGATTTTTCTCAGGTTTTTGAACTGTTAGATGGTATCATCTACCAAGAATGAGCATCTTGCACCTTCATTTCGAATCTCAGCTCCTTGAACTTTTTTTACCTTGCATTTCTTTCACTATAAAATGAAAACTATGATCTCCTTCAAGGTGGTTTCTTCTTTCGCTTTGATAATTAAAAAGATCTTCCCTACTCTGAGCTTCCTTAGTGACTTGTAAATGCAAATGTTCTGATTATTACATACTTGGGAGATATTTGTGGTTCTTGATTGAACTGTTAAACCAGTACCACATTGTTTTATTTCTTACAATCCTACAATATGATTCAATTATTTGGCAAAACAAAGTGTCCTTTATCACTCCCTCACTACCATCAGTATTTTCTTGGCTAATTATCTGTCTGTATCGTTCCATTGAGCTTTGCCTCTTTTAGTTAAACTCTCCCCTCAATTCTGAATGGAATCAGAGGAGCATATTAAATGAAGAAACACCGTCCTTTCTAAAATCATGTGATGGCTATCTTTCCATTCAAAGTCAAAGTACTGCAAGTAGCTTGACCTGACATGAGCAAGCTTTTTAAAAAAATCAATTTGTAATTAAACAGGCCTAAACAAGATTTTTTCCTAACAAGTGTACTCTCCTAAGCAAGGTTTTCTATTTTAATTGTGAATACATATTAACCTATTCAATACTTTCATCATGCCACTGATACCTGATGACATTACAACTTAATAATATTAGTAATTTAAGATTCATCAACAAAAATCCAAGAATTAAATATCATATATACAACATGATAGGCAGTGTTTTCTAAGCACCATTAAAATACAGTATTTCTTCTCCAAAAGCTCAATTTTTAAGACTGAGCAATTTATAATAATCATCTTAAAAATGCACAAGAATTTATAAAATACAATAATTTAAAATGAGTGAATTTTAAATTTTGGCTATATAAAATAATGGGCCAACTGGCCTACTGTGCATTCTACTTTGGCCTTTTGATGATGAAAATAATCTAGTATTTTAAGTTTTCAAAGCACTTCCACTTCTGAACTTAGGTTCTTATTCATGTAAAAAAAATATTTTCAGGGGCACCTGGGTGGCTCAATTGGTTAAGCATAACTTCAGCTCAGGTCATGATCTTTAGGTTACTGAGTTAGAGCCCCACAAAGGGCTCTGTGTTGTCAGTGCAGAGTCCACTTTGGATCCTTCGTCCCCCTGTCTCTCTGCCCCTCCCCTCCCCCTCTGGTTCTCTACTCTCTCAAAATAAATACACAAACTTAAAAAATTATTTTCAAAAATCTTCTGTTTCAATGCTCACACTAAGTTCAATTTCCCTTACAAATTCTGGAGAGTTTATCAGCATATCCAAGACAGCAATCCCTAGCTGGGAACATTCATTTACAGATATAATGGACATCATAAAAAGAAGCAAAAAGATATAGAAATTGTTGTGTATGATTGCACTAGTATATATATATGTATAATATTTATAAATTTATTACCTGAAAAAAATCTTAAATTCTCATGTCACTGAGGCTAAATAATCAACCTTAAACACAAGCTCTTAACTGGATAATTAACATTTTTCAGTATCTTATGTTTATTCCTTTAATGAGATGATAACATACCGGAGACAGTAATTCTTATTTTATTTTCTTCATTGTTGCAGACACACAAGTGTCATTAAGTCATTAAATACATGTTGATGCAGTCAGTTTTTCCTCTATGAAAACTGATTAAAGTTTGGGCAACACATAATATGACAAAATGAAGCTCAAATTTGGACAGAGGCAAGCGTGGAGCAGCAGAACGGAAGCAGGAGTTTGGTTTACACATAGCTAGGAATATGCACTTAAACATCATATAAGGTGCTTAGAAATATAAGGAGCTTTACACCCTAAGTCACATGAGATTATCTACGTCTCGGTTGGTTTATTGATTCTCTCTCGGTCTTACCCTGGGACACACGGTCCAAATATCTTTTTTTCTACCCTGTCTCAAAATTCTGCACCTTTATTATAATCATTAAAAAGATGTTAATGGATGTGCAAAGAAAGAAATACATACTTTTCTCCCCTCATTCTATCCACACTCAGTCAAGTTCAAGAAGCACTCTAATAAATTCAACATCTAAAAAAGGTCCTCCCTGACAATCCTCAAAGGTTATCTGTGATATCTAGTTCCTCTACTACCTAGATGAATTACATAGGTGACATTTTGTCCAATAAAACCAGTAGGTTCCATAAACCCTTCAAAAATTTCCAGATGCAATACAATTAATCCTGATGGAAAAACAAGGTTTTCGTTCGATATTTTGTATATCAAGTATCTATACTCCAGAAACATAGATGATCTGTGGCAGCTTCTATTCTAAGATACTAAACACTGGGAATGGCTTTTCTGACTTCACATTTTATAAATATCAATAATCTTACTAAGCATACAAAATAAAAGGTAATAAATTAGTTACAGAAAGATCTAGATTTGGGCTGTGAAAATGAGGGATTACATTTAGGAAAACAGGCAGATACTGAGCGAGTACGAACAAAAGAGGTAATTTTGGGTAAGGGCTGGCACACTACAGTGCACAAGTCACATGTGGCTGGCTTCCTGCTTATCAAGTGTATGGAACACGGTCATATTCATTTACATATTGTTGATGCTTGCTTTGCAATGGTAGAGCTGAGTACTTACCATATTTACTATTTACAAACGTATTTACTATCTGCACCCTTTGCAGGAAAAGTGTGCTGGCCCAGGATCTAGGGGCACAGATGTTACATATTCCCCCTCCCCTGCCTCTCTTGTTGTTGGGAAATCATTCTCCACAGTCTTCCATGTTTTTGAATGTCTTCTGAGCAAAGGTATTAATCTGGCTACTCAAAATCTTTTCAAGGATGTTTGTATAGCAAACAGCCTTTGGAAACAGGAAAATGTTTTATGGTGAGGCACAGTTTGGGCAGATTTGCTAACAGCTCTTTCTATCTTCTGTAACGGTTCCTCTCCTTGTAAAGCAAAACACTACATGCGGAGTCATCACCTGGCCTTCATCATATCACCCTGTGGGAACTGGGGCTCAGAGAAGCAGCGCAGATGAGGTTACTCTGGCTACTGCTATTGCTGTAATAAACTGCCCCTTATCTTTGAGACAGGAGTCTCATGTCTTTCACCAGTATCCATGAAATTGTCTTAGGCAACTTGTTTACTTGCAAGTAGAGTAGTATCTCATATCCTTCACAGTTCTTGACACTCATTTTGTTTTGATCAGTGAACATTTCCACATTCGTTTAACTCTAAACAGCTAAATTAATTCTTATTAAGACTATCATAAAACAGATGTGAAGTGGCAACTGACTGAGGGGTGGACATGGGCTTAAAATCTAACTTACGTAAGGGGCGCCTGGGTGGCTCAGTCGGTTAAGCGTCCAACTTCGTCTCAGGTCATGATCTCACAGTTCGTGGGTTCGAGCCCCGCGTCGGGCTCTGTGCCGACAACTAGCTCAGAGCCTGGAGCCTGTTTCAGATTCTGTGTGTCTCTCTCTGTGTCTGACCCTCCCCTGCTCATGCTGTCTCTATCTCCCAGAAATAAATAAAAAAAGCATTTAAAAAAATCTAGCTTACATTCAAGGGTGCCTTTCTGGAGTATGCAGAGTAGCACCATAGGAGATAGTGGCTTTGCTAATGAAAATACTACTTCACAAAGTAGAAACTACTTTTTTCATTTAATTTTGATTTTTGAAAGTCCATGCTATGATCTGATTGTTTCTATGAGTTTCTTAAGTTATCATGAGATGTTCTGATAGCTGACGTCAAATATGTTCTATGACACTAAAGAATAAAAATAATTAAAATATTTCAGGGTTGCTTTTATCTAATTCATGACTGAAGTCGTGCCCTTTGAGAGAGGCTTCTATATAGTGCTTTACCCTGTAGGGTTATGTATGGGATTGTCTGCTTAACACACTCTACCATGTTCCAGGAGCGCTGCCACCATCAGTTCTGGATGGAGCGCGCATGTTCTGATACCACCTTGCGACCTGACCGCAATTAATTGGTTCAGGAACAGATACCTGGTCCAATGTATCTCTTTCTCCAGATTTTTGGATTCAGGGCCTGGGAAGTCAAGCCTGTCTCTCTCAAGAGGCTAAAATTCTGCGATTTAAAACTCTAATGTTTGTGGACATATTTCCTGCCATACTTTTCAGGAAGAAATAAAGCAGAATCTAAGAAAAGCATGGGTGAGAGACAGAGTGTCCTGCTGGTATCTTTGGGCTTTATAGTTTTTGAATTCGACACATTCCTACCCCTCGCTGAAGCTTGTTTTTGTGAAATACTCTAGCCTTCCTTCCTAGAACTTCCTTCTTCCTTTTTTTTTTTTTTAAATTTGGTTAAGCTAGTTCAAATTAGGTTTCTATCTTTTAACTTCCCAACCAACTACTGGTCAGGAGTAGTCCGGTTTCATGACATTATTTGGAGAGCAGGGAATAAACT